CACACACAGGCAGCGAGATTGCCCCAGACACCTTTGCTTTGGAAACCAGGCTAAAACCCACAGTATTGTATTTATTAAAACAGTCCCCTGAAGTCAGATTTGTGATTCCTGTACTTCTGTTATTGGCAATGTGGCAGATTTTTAAAATAATTTTTGGAGGATTACATTTGGGTTATACAAATCAGATTGATTTTACCCCTTCTAGCCACAGGCAAGCCACTTATGAATGCTTTACCCATATGTTAAATGGGGTCAACAAGTACTTACCTGCCTCAGATGTGGTCTGTGTGCAAACACAAACAGTGGTTTGCAGCTCTTTAAAGCATTCCTCTACATAAAAAATAATTATTATAAATATTGCTGTAAGATTGGCGCATACACATTTTATTCTTTTTGAATGGCTGCAACCTTTTAAACATAGAAGCACAATAGAGGTCTAATCCTCAGATATATTTAAGTGTGATACAGAGGAAATCATTTATTTAGCGGGTCTTTTGCCAAGTTAGCTTTCTGCTGCAGTTTAACTCAATACTTAGCAAAAGAGTGTATTTTATTGGACAGTTCCATTGCTTTTAATATCTGATAAAGAAATAATGGGCTAGAAAAAGTTTCAAGCAGGCCTTTCTCAAACATTTCCTTCTCTGTCGGTGCTCACTGGATAAAAACGCATCTCCTTACACCCCGAGTTCATCTCAGTCATGACACTGCATACTGAAAGGCCTGATGGAAACTCAGCCAATGCTTCCAACACATCCAGACCCATTCACCTTCCTACTCCCTTCCGCCTTCCTGCAACCTCACCAGCACGCTCACACGCGCTGCTTGTCGACCTGCAACGCAAGAACAACCTGCCACGCTGCTGCCTGCCTCACTGCTGTTCATGCAGGGGGCAGGGGGTTGGGACGACGGCTTTCTTCTTAGCACCCGTGGATATCCAGGGATGGCATGTGTGCTTCACGCAAGGTGGGGGAAGTATAGGAGGCTGTGGAAAATGAGTGCAAACCTCTTTTGTCTTTGAAGAGGACAGGCAGCGTGAGAAAGGTGTCAACACTGCACGCAAGCATAGCAGACCCTCTCACACACACCGCACCCCCCCCCCCCCCAAAATATACATTGGAGGATGATTTTTTGAGCACAAAACCATCCTTACATGCTCCACAACATCCAGGCAGCAGCATGAGGGGCTACTGCCTGCTTCCCCACTCCTTCCTTCCCTCCATCCCAGTCCTACAGCGTGGGCAGAGTGACAGGGATGCATCCCTGCCGCTCTGCCTGCATGGCGTTTGCACACTGTTAAATCAATTAATCTGCCAGCTGGGTGAAAAAAAACCTGTGGATGTGTTTCCCAAGTCATCAGTCAAACAATGATGGGCTGCCAAATTGCCCCGAATAAGCAACCCAAGCAGCATTGTCTTCTTGTTTATAAAAGATCCTTATCAGCTTACCTGAATGCGCTTTGGACTTCTCCCTTGTGCCCTAATTTAATTCTTTAATTATGAGAAATTAAGAGCCAGTGCTTTCAATAAATGCTGAGAGGGTTGCTGTTCCCTCACGTATACCCAGTGTTATATTACAGATTTAGCTAAAGTGCACTGTGATTGCAGTGAAGTTTTCAACTTCTAGCCAGTATTTCCTTTTCCAGCAGGCATTCATGTTGCAAGACTCTTCCTAGCTTAGCAATGTCTCTATTCATACGCAAAACTACAAACTGCCTACAAAGATATAAAGTGTGAAATTAAAAAATAATCACCACTTAGTGTCCATAGTGTACGTTTTACATACAAATATAAGAATTCAAATGAGAAAAGAAGTCAGAAAAAACAACATTTAATTATAAAAGAGCTTTTTAAATTAAAAAAGATAATGGCACTAAACCAGAAACAAAGTTATTTAAGAGATCATAGCCACAGGGCGGTTGTAATTTTATACTGAAATTATACAGCTGTTCCTATCATCTGCACTTTGCTCCTGATTAAAATAACATCTACAGTTCCAGTCACAAGTAATCTTTTGCGGAACTATCATGTATTATGAAAACACACATCATTTTTGTATTACATGACAAAAACCCCTTATATTTATTACAATAGATCCTTAAATATTTACCTAAGCTTTGTACTGGTTTGCTACGCTACTCCTTACAGTTAAAGAACAGGGAGTGTAGTTTGTTCTATTGACAAAAGTGATTTGTCTTCCAGGGTTTGCCCGCAGTGGCGCAGTGCTATCCCACATAGGGGTAACCAGCGAGATGGAGCATCAAGGGCAGTACAGTCACATTGGAAAGATTTCCTATTTTATTCAACCCGCTTTTGAGAATCCTTCAGTGCTTCCTTTCCATATGAAGACAGCCTTTGACTTTAAAAAACAATAAATACTTACGCCCCCAAAATTGTTCGTATGCTGTGGATAACTAATCAGTAGATGTCTAATTTTTCTATGACCTTTCGGAGTTCTATTTCACTGCTTATATATAGAAGGGAGAGTTCCAGCAGTTACTTTGGGAACAACACAGTTAAGGGCCTGTATCCAAAGCTCAGCAGAAAGACCCTTTATTCCTTTAATCAGCTTTGATCATGTAAAAAAATGTAATTCAGTCCTTGATTGTATGTTGAATGTTGCCTATGAGGTCAGTATAATTCTGTGTGTGCACTGAAAGAAAATATTTCATTCTAAGGATATAATTTCACAGTAGTTATTTCAGGTAGTCAGCACACAGATGTGAGCACTTAAGCACAGCTGAGCTAGTTTACAAATAAATTGTAAAGCAGTACACAAGTTAGTGAGCCCAAAGTGTTACTGTGAGACTGGGGCTCTGGAGCTACAGTCCACAGCTCTTTGTGCTGCAACAAGCCACGTCAGTCTATAATTTGCTATCAGTGAATTCCACTGGGAGCTTTCAGTCCTTCCCTGCAAAGAGAAGGATTTGCAATATTTCACCGTTGGACTATTAATTTTTGAAGTGGTTTAGACAGCATCTATCAGCATAAGGGAAATCAGAACTTGATTTCTAGCCTCGTCCAGGATGGACCAGACATAAAGCTGGTGGTAGATAATATCCAAAAAGCCTATGTGAACTCCACAGTAGACCTTTACACTGACTTTGAGTGAAAGGTTTGGTGGTTTGCTACCTATGAAATTTAGACTACAGTTTCCCTCCACAGTTATTTTATTCTTCCTGAAAGTTTTTATTGTGCCAGTAACTGGCAGGTTTTGGAAGTTCACAGAATGCTTTACAACCTATCAGATGTCCAAAAAAACTGAAACCAGTGTATGTAACATGGCTGCGTATCATTGCTGAAAAACCGAAGGTCTTTCTAGTTCATGACTATTCCAGAAAGGACACTGCCAAGAGTGGTGAGCTTTAAAAATGACTCACCTTGTCACACGGTCCTTTCTTTTTCCTTTTTTTTTTTTTTTTTAAAATAATCTCAAGAATACAACCAACTGGAATAAGAATAAAAAACATTTAAAAGATCTAGCAAAAAGCTGCATAGAAAGCATTTTCACATTGTTTTTAAATAGTTTTCATCAAATTTTACCTAGAAAGTAAACAAAATTAGAACTTCCAAAGACAAAATATATTGCATTGCAGTTCTTTCCTGTGAATGTCACACTCACTTGGGAAATTCATATAACTGGGTTTAGGTATTTTTAATACTGTACCATTCAGAGGTGCTCATCAGGATTTGGTTCTCCAGTGTACTAGCACTGTAAAGACCTATATGAACACACAATTCTACACAAACAGATTGTAGATCTCTAATATAAAGAGGTTAAACATCTGTTTGAAAAATAAATTATACTGAAACAAGACCTACCAGATGGGAGGTAGATTAGTGCCATTAAAATATTTAAGGTACTTATTCTCATTCCAAATATGAGTGGGAAAACTGTGCTATCTCCAAAATTTTGCTGTGAGTAAAACTGAAAATTTACTGGCAATCACTGTTGGGTTTCCATCCCCTTTTTTTTTTTTTTTTTTAAACTGGATAAGGTTCTATTAATATGTATTAACGCAGCTGAAGGTTGAAAGGACACGCTATCCCTTTGAAACATTCAGCCTTACAAAGTAAGTCCACAGGTTGTTCTTTTGCCATTAGTTGTGAGCTTAGCTCTGCTTAGACTTTATAACCCACTCAGCATTTGGGTTGAGCTGGTATAAGTCCTTCATGTAGGTATCACCATCAAGGCAGCGTTCTCCTAGAAATAGAAGAGATATGTGGTTACATCAGTACCAAAAAAGAAAGGAAACAACTTTCAAAGTTCCTGTCACCGTTCTATTCCATTTAGGTTTTCAAGCCCTCTCTGTGGTATTAAACAAAGGACAACAGAGCTAACACCTGGAAGTGCTCTTATCCTTCCCATCTGTCTTGGGGAGCAAGGCGGACAGAGGAAGAAGGAAAGAGAGCAGGGGCTGTGCTACCTCTACGGCACGTTCTAGGTCAGATTCTTCACACTGACCATGCACGTGGGAGCTTCCCTCTGTGAAGGTTTAGGAAAAAAGGAGCAATGCCCTGGTCCTCTTGTGGTTAAATCCAAACACTAAGTTCACATTTGCATAAAAGCCCATTAAAATTTCAGGTTGTTTTCCCCTTCTTAAATGGAAAGTTGGAGCAAGGTTTGTCCTTGCTAGGAAGCCATTACTCCCTATCCTGCTCCTCTTGGTCAGCAGTTCTGCACAGCACTTGTAACGGTTACTGTCCTAGGAGGGAAAAGTAGTACGGTGTTCTTGGTGCATTACAAGTAATTAATTTATGTCTAGTAGCTATGATGAAAACAGCATATGCTGATCCATCAAGATCGGCGTACTCTTCTCATTCCCTCACAGGCAAAGCATTATCTCATGCATTGGCAGCTCTATATCACAGCCCCTCTCCTACTCCACCTTGCAAGTGGTTAGGGTTGATGGCTCATGTGCCAGGCAGGTGTTTGCAGCACATGTGCTCCTGAAGCTGCACTGCAGCTGGGTTTGTCTGCCAGCTCTTTGGACTCCCTGCTCAGAGCAGCCAAGAAGGCAAGACTCCCTGCTCAACCAGGCTCGGTCTCCATCTGCTCCCTCTCCATCCGCTCTCCTTGCCCAGCGGCAGCCTGTCTTCCCTCTAGGATTTTTATCCCAACCTACATGACCTGTACTGCCCACACTGCTGAACTAGGCCCTCTCCCCCACATAGTACTGCGTGTTCAGGCAGAGAGAGCACAGGGACAGTGGTTTGCCATGTCCCTATCCAATCCCAGTCACGAAGCAATGGCAGAAGTCCCATTCAGTGCCCTGAAGCTCTATAGTCTACTGAGTACTCGAAAAACTTCTGGAGCCTTCACCAGCTCCATCTGCGAGGGGACAGGATCGCAGCATTGCACATTACAATTATGAGCATAAGTGTAAGCACATGAGTGTATCACGAGCCTGTCATGTCTTCTTGCTTTTGGGTTCCCTCTACATGAGTTGGTCACATCGGGCAGAGAGAGACAGCAAAGATCAGGACAGCTGGTTTACTTAAACCTGTACAGTGGGTTAAAGTCAGGGAATTTCTCTTAGCTCAACTGAGAGTATTAATAAGGACTAGTATTTGTAAGGGCTGATTAAAGCGGAAATTGTCTGGAAGTAAACCATTCAGACAGAGGAAACATCTAAGCTTTCTATCCTATTTCATAACAAAACAAAACAAATGTAATGAATTGAGAGCAGAAGGAGGAGAAGGACTTGGGGATATTGGTTGATGAGAAGCTCAACATGACCTGGCAATGTGCACTCGCAGCCCAGAAGGCCAACCATATCCTGGGCTGCATCAAAAGAAGCGTGGTCAGCAGGTCGAGGGAGGTGATTCTGCTCGTCTACTCTGCTCTGGTGAGACCCCACCTGGAGTACTGCGTCCAGCTCTGGGGCCCTCAGCACAAGGACATGGACCTGCTGGAGTGGGTCCAGAGGAGGGCCATGAAGATCACTGGGGGCAGGAGTACCTCTCCTGTGAGGAAAGGCTGAGAGAGTTGGGGTTGTTCAGCCTGGAGAAGAGAAGGCTGCGAGGAGACCTTATAGCAGCCTTCCAGTACCTGAAGGGGGACTACAAGGAAGATGGAGAGGGACTTTTTACACAGGCATGTAGTGATAGGACAAGGGCTTTAAACTGAAAGAGGGCAGATTTACATTAGACATAAGGAAGAAATTCTTCACTGTGAGGGTGGTGAGGCACTGGAACAGGTTGCCCAGAGAAGCTGGGGATGCCCCATCCCTGGAAGTGTTCAAGGCCAGGTTGGATAGGGCTTTGAGCAACCTGGTCTAAGTGGAAGGTGTCCCTGCCCATGGCAGGGGGGTTGGAACTAGATGATCTTTAAGGTCCCTTCCAACCCAAACCATTCTATGATTCTATGATTCTAAATCTGCAACTAGCCATGTATTTTCTCTGAGACATACAATTTCTGTCACATGTTTAAGGTTATAGTAGGTTGTTCCAGTTTCACTGGAATTCTGTAACAAAAACTTTTTTCTACAATAATTACACCTCTGTACAATAACAGCCTGCTTTAACAAGCATAGCAAATATATGTACATACTGGATAAGCAAGAGAACATACAATACATTAATCTGGCATCCTACTATCTTAGTAACTTTTGCCATCAGATTTAGTAAAAACACTAAAACATATCTGTTGTGGCGAACATAGGAAAGTGTTATTTTTAATTTACTTTACGTCTTTTGGTTTAGGCACACACACAAAAAAATTGATTTAAAATAGTGATAAGATAAAAAGGAAAAAATGCTAGAAGTAGCTATTTACATACAAGATTTAAACTTTCAGAGTACAGAAGTACTGGCTATTCATGGAATCTTATAACTTCACATAAAGTTTAACAGGTCACGGTTAATAAGAAAAAAGTAAATGCAAGTCCAATCCAATACTGTTTTCTAGGTGTGGGGTGGTTTTTTTTGCTGAGCATATGAAAAATACTGTGATTAGAAACTGATTCCCAATGCAAAAATTCTTTTGTATTCCTAAAAGAAAATTTCAGAACTGTGTTCAAAGTTATCCTTTGGCATTAACCTTGTTGATCTGCTATTTGCTTTAATCAAGAGGGTCTGGAAGACACAGAGCAGCAAAGACTAATCATTGGAAAATTTTATCATTAGGTCATCTTTCAGGGTGAGTGTTTTTTTCCCCAAAGGAATCTGCAAGCAATGCTCAAATGCAGAGCATGAAGGACTGTAAGCTCACTTACTATGCCTCAATACAAAGAGAGGAATAAGATGAACCTCAAGCACCTTCCTATCCAACTTTTCTGTGCTTCTTCACTGTACATACATATCAGGAACATCTGTTACAGCTGCCATATTATCTCTGGGAGAGATAATAAGATACTAGTAATACGATGATCACACCAACATTTCTGCTTCCTTCTCCCCAAGGTTAACTGTCTGCCTTAGTGTCAGGGAGAACTAGGGACGTGAATAAAAATGCAACCACAGTGAAGCCCATGGACCACGTGCCAAGGAATCCTATTCGAGCAAAAGAAGTTGTTCAGAAGCCATTCTTACCAATATTTCCTCCTATTTCATAAAGAAAGACCTCTTCTTTCTTGAGTGTTTGGACATTTCCACTGTCGGGAACAAAACACAATGAATAACTATATTGTGAAAGAGCTTGTGCATCGGCCATTTAGACATGTCTGGGAGAAATTACGCTAATTAAAATCAGCAGTGTACCTGTCATAAACTCTTCGTGTTTATAGTCATTTACTGATACAGTAAGTGAACAAGAATACCTTTGCATGCTAGTGCAAATGAATAGTCCTGCAAATGAGCAATACACTACAGAAAAGGTAAATAAGATAGATGTGAAGAAACTGTGGCGTTTAGAAAAGAATTCCATTGTTATTAGCAAGTGGCCTGATATTTACCCTCTGATTTTTCTTTCACTGCTGCTGCAAAAATAAGTATTCCCCCCAAACACTTCATATTTCTGAAAAAGCCTTATGGTTGGGTGGGAGAAACCACATTCTTGCTGGGTTTAATTTTGCTGCAACTAAAAGAAGTAAAAAACCAGACAGTGGAAGAATAAGTCCCCAAATTACAAAGGGATTCTATTATTCTCACTGCTTAATTGTAATAATGTATGCTAAGGCACAGCCAGAAAATAACTTTCTGTCAAAAGTGTAAACCTCTAAAAACAGCATTTAGGAAAAAGCAGCTTCTTAATCTCAACTAGTGTACCATATTATTGCTTTAGCATGAGTAGTTATATATGATGCACACGTGTGTTAATTTTTTTTTTTGATAAGTCTACTCTGATTTTTTACTTTGCTCATATATATAAAAAATAGATGTAAAAGCTTGAATAAAACTTCTCCCTTTTTAAATGGATTTGGATGACTCAAATGTAGCTTTCCTTTTAAGTCACTGCATATGCATGACATTTGAACATATTTATATCCCAGTACCTGTTGCTATATATAAATGCATTTTTTACAAAATATTTTCTTTCTCTTTTCCTCATTGCTTTGTTTCCTAGACTTATTTTCTTGGAGTTCCCTTCTGTCTTGTCACCAGAAAGTTACAAAACTACTCCTGACCCATCAGATTAAATAGCAGTTAATTTTTTACTAATGGCACTCGTATTCCTGCAGGCTTCGTGAGCTTTAATGACATTAGGAGCATTAAGTTAATTCCTCGAGCATGTATTCTAATGGCTAAATTCAGCCAAAAAGTTCATGAACTCACCTGGACTTGAAGTATTTTAAAACGTTTTTCTTGATCGAATATATGAAAAGCCACTTCTCCCAAAATGATAACAAAACAAAAATGTGTTTGTACCTTTGCTGGCTGAGAAACCTGGCTACTATATCACCAGCTTTCAGTTCTTCTGTCAGCTGTATTGCCATGGAAACTTTCGAAAGTTGAGGCGCTTGCACCCGTATCACTCCCTGAGGAACATCAGCCTGCAAAGCAATAATGGTGTTGGAACAAAGCTGCTAGCAGCTGGCTTTGATGAGCTTCTCAAAATACAGTATGGAATAAGTAGTTTAGTATAGTGCTCTGTACTTACCTACTATCTACTACACTTCACTGCAGAAATATAACTACACAGTAATTCCCTAAATTACATCAGACCTTCAAATCTCTCTTTAACAGCAGGGAGAACTTTAGAACAAAAGAACAGTAGTGTTTGATTATTTTTCAAAGATGTTGCAAATAACAATAACAATTACTGCTATATTAAGAACACACCATGGTATGGTAAGAAGCGTATGAGATTGATATGGAAAAGACTTCCTGCAAGCATGAAAGCCAGGCAACCCCCCCGCTGAAACTTCCAGAAGAAACCTTTCCAGTTTCATTTAATCTGAATTTCATGCCAAAAAAAGAAATCACAAAGTATTCACGGGTCAGTCTACTTTAAGTGATTCCTCTTTTCAAATATCATTTTCTTTTAAAACAGATATTCACTACTGCAGCTTTTTCTCCCTATTTTTCATTCTCCAGAATATATTCAGCTAGTCAACCTGCAGGTCTGACTACATAATGGATTTGTATTTTATTTCAACCCAAAAATCCTTGATGATGAATATCAATCATATTAGTTACAGAGAAGGAGGGCTCCAAAGGACAGTTTTTCTGTTCAACTTGCAGTACATGACATTTCAAGTTACAAAAGGCGTAATTTATTTGTGAATAAGGTCCTAATTTCTGTTCCTGGAAATCTTGAGGTAATTTTTCCATTCGTATTACATTACCATTTACCCAAATGTACTCATTTTGATAGGAAAAGAAATGTAAGAGTCTCAGTAGTCAAGGCTGATTATGACAGTTCATTCTCTTCTTTCCCCCCCACCCTATTTACTGCAATTGTAAGGCTGAACATTTCTTCTTCCATAATCAATGAACAAATCTGGGCACCTGTGAATCTAGAATAGCTTCTCTGAAACCATCAGAGTTAAACGAATATAGAACAAGTATAAACGTGAGCAGAATGAGAAGCCCAGCTTCCTGAGAAAGCTAAAGGCTCATTACTATACAAGAGATGAGCTATGGCAAGTAATTTTAACCAAACAATCCTTCTATATCCAGTCTTATTATTTATTGATTTAAAAATACTAGACATAATAACTATTTATGTCTAAAGCATTAAGAATCACCAAATTGAGAATTTGTTTTGTAGTAATCGTGGAATCAAAGATTCGTAAGATTGCACTGGATCTCAAAGAGCAACTCCCTACATTTATCCCTAAATTTGTCAAATCTGTTCTTTAAGGTCTCCACCTATGGAAACAGTGGCTGTAGCCATTTGCTAGGAAGTTAACTCCTGCTTAAAAATATTTTGCCTCTTTCCAAACTGTTGGGATCCTGGCAAAAGGAAAGGAAACTTTTTAGGATGAAACGCTTATTTACAGATGTCCCTAACTGGTCTTTCATCAAATTCAGCATGGTAAATCTAAATTGGTTTTCATTTTTTCATACAATTCTGTATCATTTTGTCTCAGTTGATTTTAATGGAGTTTTGCCAACCTTCAGCTGGATAACTGTTTGGGGTTTTTTTTTTTCTAAATAGCAGGCATATGATAAATGATTTAAAAACCTGCCTGCTTTGAGTATATGAGAGAAAGAACAGCAAATGTCCACAGAGCTGTAACATTATGGTCACAGATCAAACACAATAATTACTTTGTTTATTCAGACAGAATCATTATTAGCTCAGCTAATGAATGCATTTTTGCCACTTTCACCACCTGCATTTACAGAAGAACTCATGCTCAGCTGCACAATACGTTCATGGTGCCCAACTATAGAGACAACATATACTGAGCATCCCCTACCCCATTCACTGTGCAAGTTGGTGGGAAAGAAAATGTGGCCATAAACCATTACGCCCTAGGAGCAGAAGGGCCTGTTCTCTGCACAGCACAGTTCAAAACACCCAAGTTAGGGCTCCACATCGCAACATATAAGCCAAGTACCTATAAGGTGATTGACAGTATGCTGAAGAGTGGGTCACATATACTATTTAGTTTGCAAGTCCCCTCTCCTGCCTCACAAGCTCTCTCAACAACACTGAAACCTCTGGCCGAGTTATGTACTTGCACACTTTAAAAACCTGAAGAGAGATACCTCCTTAGTTGATAGAAGATACACTGGCCTACAACATTTAGTCTGTAGCAGGCACAGCAGTCACCTGTGAGGTACTCATCTTCTTTCAAACCCTTTCTTTTCAGAGGGACTTCAATCTATGTATCGCAAAAGAACCGCAGCTGCTTGGCTATAGGATCTGGGGTGGGTCTCTTCCAGACTCTCCTGTTCCATTTTGCATGACACAAATATTCATCAGGCTAGATGAAGAGAGGAATAAAGTGACCATGCAGTATTTTCACTAATGACTCAGATGACGGAATACAATATATACTTATTAAATGTGCGAATGATACCAAGCAGGAATGGGGCATGAGCATTATGAAGAGCAAAACTGGGATTCAAAAGGATCTTGCTACATGGGAGACAAAGTCTGAAAGAAATGGGACGCAGTTGTTCTCTTTGAACTGCAAAGTGTTGCACCCAGTTTGGGACAAACAACTGTAAAACTATGTAAAGGGAAATGATTTAGCAAATTTTTTAGTAAATAATCTGGCACTGCAGTGGATAATAAGTTCAGCAAGAGTCAGCAACGTTATACTGTGAAAATTCAAACAGGTTATGCAAACAGAATGGCTATGGGATACAATGGTTGTTCTAACCTGTATTAGATAAGCCCAGTAGCATTGCGTTGTGCTGCTAACGACTGCTCCTTTTTTTGGAACAATTGCAACACATAGAGGAATACAATGGCAGATGGTATAAATCTGGCTAATGCTAGTAGGTAAATTTCCAGTCCTGAGGGCTTCTTTCTTTGCCTTGCTAGAGCATTATGCACCCCAACAGCAACATAAAGACTTAATCCCTAACACTGACTTGAGGCCATAGGTATGCATAGGTATCCTGAAAAGCAATTAACCCTCATGAGCCCTCTAATATTAACCACTCTCGATTAACCCTCATGAGTCATCTAATATTAACCACCCTCAGCATTGTACAGAGAACTTGCCCAAAGTTTGCAGTAAATGCTATTTAACCTCTGTCTTAAAAGGGGAAATGTGATTGATAGAGAGGCCTCATGAGAGATTAGATGAAATTTTATCCAAATGAGCTGACTGCCTTTAAAAATGCAGGTATTGAGGTATTTCTGGAGAGTACGGAAGTGACTCAAGCCCTGCCCACCTATGTTTAATCACGTGGGGTGCCACAGCATGTGGTAGAAAATAGCAACATTTACTTAGTTTTTATTCAGCTGCACACAAGATAATTAGCTCTCAAAAGTTTCAAACAGTTTTCACTGGAGTGGAGATTCACCACAAGTCTGGGTGCCTCACTTAGCGTCTAATAGTGAAATGCAGTTCAGGAACTGCACAGGAAAATCACCTCAATTTCACATTAAGGCAGTATAAATTGAAAATTGGGGGAAAGAAAAAAAACCCACAACAAATTTTCCTTAAAGAATGAGACTATTTTTTACTTGGAAAAATGTATAAAATCATCATTCACAATGAAGCCTTATCAGTTTGTGAATTTGACTTTAAGAGTAATATGTTCTCAGGAACCCAAATTACTGAATGCTTCAGATAAGCATGAGGGATTTGTGAAAAACTGTACCATTTAATTTTGAAGAAAATCCCCATGGAATTTTAGGGCTTAAAGAAAATTACTGAATAGTAACTTTACATGTACATTTGAGTAAGAATGTATTACATGAGACCTCAGCCCTAACTCCCCAGTGGATTAAAAAGGCATATTTTATGCTAAAAGACCAACAGCACTGAATTACAAAAAAATCCAATACCTGAAGTTGCAATAGCATTTGCCTATTTCAGTGTATTTGCTGTTATTTCTATGTTGAACAGGGGATGGCAGCATTAAATGTGATACCACTGTAACTCGGCTGAATTGTATTCAAAGAATTCTTATTGGACAGTGTAAAACAAATGTCAGTGTTTAATTAGCTTTATTTTAAAATTGTATGTAAGTCCTCATTCTGTGAACATATTCCTTCATACAGATAGATAGGGAAGTAAGGCAAAGTGATGCCTGGGGAATTAACTAATTTTGGACATTAAGAGATATGTCAAATACTGCATACAAAATGAGGTAGGAACACAGAAATATAAGTCTCCAGCAGATATTGGATGCAGTTGTCCAAAGGATTCAGCTATTTGCACATCCAAAAAAAAGAAAAAGGCATACTTGTAAGATCAACCCAGGCAGATTTGAGGGATATTATAGCATATTCATTTGCCATATTCTATTTTTTAGCTTATTAGCTTAAAAAATGCCTTTATTAGAATATGACAATCCTTTTTTGTAACAGTTTGCCATACATATACTTGATAAGAAAAACACAGACCATTCAGACCGATGCATTTTTACAAGCTACCACAAGATGTCTCTAATTCACCAGAATCTTCAATATGACTTCAACCCACAAGGTGGTATTTTCATACCACCTAAATCAGATACGTATTCATTACGTTATCAGGATATGCATATTTGGTGTTACCTGTTTACATATTTAAAATAACTTTGGAATCACGTATTTCAAATGCATTGTAATTAAGATACTATACTGTATAGGCTAATGAGCTTCAAAAAATTGTAATTACTAACTTCATTGAAATCGTAAATAATAAGCAATTTCAAGGTACACGAGATATATTTTTGAAAAGTTTCGACGTCAGTGGGAACAGTTCAATTAAAATATTTCTAAAGTACAGGAAAAATTAACGCTATAATGCCACAGGATTTCTTTTTTCATTGTAAAGAATGTGTGAAGAGTGTTACACTGAAACTTACGCCTTGACATCACTGATGGGTCTGGCAGAAGTCAATTACCTAATGGAGAGATACTGAACTGTAGATTATATACAGAGGGGTAAATTGGGAGTAGACACTTGGACAACAGCTGCATAATAGAAGCAGTTTATCAGTTTTTTACATTTGTTTCACCCTTTAGGGGTTTCTTGGGGTGGGCAGGTTGTGCATGCTCTAGCACACTTCACTTTACAAGGAATAGTTAAAGATTCATTGAGGCAAAGAGTTCAGTGGTTTGGGAACTTCTGTAGGAGGAAAAGGATTAAAAGCTAGCTTTGTTTCCAAACACTACTAAATATCAAATAGTGAAATCTAGGTATTTATTTTTAAGTAAACACACGGTCTGCTGTGACTTCCATTCGGCAGCAATGCATCTAAATGTGGGTACAGTAATACTGAGTGTTGTCACAACACTTGCTCCCTCTACAGACCTAACATGATTTTGTATCTTGAATTGAAACAACCTGTGGGATATCATTTTTCAGAATAGAAATATTTTGAAAAATCTGGGAAAACAAACAAACAAACAGCCCAACCCTCTAACTGTGTCTCGCTGGTAATAAACTATCAAACCCATATTAACTTGCTATCTATTGAAATTCTCAGTTAAATAAATGTAGATATCCCCTCTGCTACATCCATTTTTTCACTAGAGATTATAGTCTTATTAATAAAGTATTTCAGATGTATGTTTCCTTACATCATTAGGGGTCTTCTCCTGCTTCTCATGCTTTTCTCGGTCATATGCCATCTTTTTCAGAAGTTTCTTCATAGCTTTGTCTTTTTTCTCTTTCTTCTGGCTTTCGGTGTTTTGTTTTCTTACTTGGTTAACAATAAACTTAGGAATCTAGACAAATATAGATAGTAAGCATGAATATCTATTTAATTTCCTTAAATAACTAACTTATCAAAACTTTGTAAATTGACAGATTGTGAGGTAGATCTCAAAAAGATAGTATTTATTTCCAGGAATAATTAAAGATTCAAATAATATAAACCTGTAAAACAATTTAAAACCCACTCCATTTGTGATGTTATATTCCATCCAGTAAGCTCTCAGGGGAAGAGAGGTGGAATCATGCACTGGTTTTACTTTCCTCAGCCAAAAAAAAAAAATCACTCAACACAGTCTGTACAGCGGTGTTAATAACTTTTCCTCACATGCAGCAAAGGTCAAAAATTGTTTAAAGCTGCTGATGGACAACAAAGTGCAAACTTCTCCAGTCTAAGTTAGAGTTTTGCTTGAGACCATGGCACAACTTCATGTTTTATCGAAACATGTTTTATATAATACAAAGTTTGGCCCAAAAGGGAAATGGACTACAACACCACGTTTCCTGCTAATATCTCTAAGCAGAAAAGAATAAATTCCTCATAACAATGCATACTGATGGGCCAAAGATCCCCCGAGGACTTATTTTTGAGTTCACATACGGTACAGACAATATTAAAACTCCAACCATCAGAGTTTAACTCTACAATAAGATGTAATGATTCTGTTTCACTCCCGTAAGAGTTACCTATGAGCAACAATCCATCTGGACGGGGCTGACCTTTCTCTAAATCATGGAAACAAGTTCATATTACTTCTTTGTTCAGATGCCTTGTTTGCGGAATTTATGATTTCCCCCCACCCCCCCACCTTAAGAATACACTTACTATCCAGAGAAGTTTTTGGTACTCAATCATAAAGCGCATGACATATGCTGTTCCAGCTGCCATAACAAACTCGCTTTGTTCAATAGTCTTTGAGCCAAACCCATGAAATGTGAAAAGGTTTGGGGCCATCACCATCGCAACATTCTTTAACGTCATTTTATTTTTGTCTTGATGATCAATTACCCTTTGGAGGAATTCAAGCAGTACCTGAAATAACAGCAGAACTTACAGCTCAACTCTACACATGAAAAAGTTAGAGTGAAACATGATGTTACATATTTTTGGAAAAAGCTCTTTATTTCTAATAAACCCACATGAAAAGCAATCAATAATAGGAACTGTGGATATGTTTGTTCACAGGACTGTAATGCAAGTTTTGTTTCCTTTAAGAACATTACTGTTGGCTTTTCTTAAACTGAAAGTGAACACAATAGTGCCAGTTGTCATGGTTATGGAAACATGGAGTGGCTACTTCTGTAGGGTAAGCAATTCGTGAGTAAACCACAGCATTGTGAATGACAGGTAGCCAGTTACAAACTGACAACCTTCAATTAATTCAGTTCTAGATATTTGTAACTCAACTCAGGAGCCCTCCTGACTGCTTCCACACAGTAAATAAACTCAAAAAGAAAGTAATGTTTACACAATAAGACCTAATAGGATTTTTTGCCTGTAACAGAAGATGTTCTGCATGCTACACAAATCCTGCAAATTCATTTTTGATTGTAGCAATGTTAATAGTAAGCATATTCTGAAAAAGATGAATAGCTTTGCTACAAAAGGACAAGCCCAAATTGGAAGACTCCATGTAACATCCTGCAAATACCAATAGGAAGTGTAGATTTCTAGCTTATTGAGAGTAAAAACAAACAGCACAGAGAAAAGTGGGGAATAAAAATGAAGAGCTGAACCCGTTTCATAAAAGCAAACTCTCATCCATAGTATTCTAACACTGTTTATTTTTTGCATTGGAAATAATGACTGCTGCTGCAAAAAAAGGAACAAAACTTGTAAGAGAAAAGGTTGCTCACTGGGAGATTATTATTGCAATCTCCTGGAAAAATTTCAAGTCACATTCTTAAAAGTCATTTGAGAGGAATTAGGGTCCTAAGGGGTTTTTTTCTGAAGTTCTGTGAAATATGAAAAAAGAAAGAATCGCTAGTTTCAGCATTGACTTTGAACTGAAAAAAAGAATGTTAAAAGACAACAGCATTCATTAAGGTGGATCCACAGAAACAGACAAAATATTTGTGCAGGAAAAAAAGTATTAGCAATTCTAACCTTCAGAGTGTCTCTGTTTGCTTCAGGTAGAAGGAGAACCAAAAGAGTCAAAGCTTGCAGTTGCTGTTCCTTCATTGGAAGATCTGCCATTGAAGCACATGAATGTCAGTATTTTAAAATTGTCATTTGTCCTCTTCAAAAAGCACAATTTCAAAGTGGAAACCTCTTGCAAAATGCTGAGTGTGTACACATGGCTAATTGTCATAGTATGACAAAAGACTGGCAGATCCTCGTTTTCTCATACTCATTTCCAAATGTTCTTTAGGATTCAGTTGCTGTATGACTCAGCAGTCTTCTGGCAATATTTTCTAGATGTCTTGTGATTCTTTATTTTGCAATGTTACAAGAAGAAATAGTCAGCTAACAGTTCCTCCCTTTTTGAGCCTGTGCCCCAACATATGAAAGGGTATATTCAAAACTGTTTTCACAGTTTCTCCGGTTGCCTTAACAGTTGCATGGTCTCCCAAGTCACCCACACAGAATGAATACCACGTGTTGCTGAATAAGGCAGGTCTCCAGCGACATAAGCAGCAGCAGCTGCAACGGCAAACCAGCGGGGATAAAGCCAAGAGCAGAGAAGCTTAACACATATCTAGAGCAGTGGGTGCCGTACCAAATGTGGCAAGCTATAATTAAAGAAAAGTGAGGTTGGTTCTGCCTTTTACCCAATTCCTCAGCGGTGCGTCATTCACCCAAGATGCAGGATAAGTGCATCCCTACACTCCTCCACATCCTAGAAGAGCTCCTACATTCTGGCAGTGTTGAGCAGCAGAAAGCCCCAACTCTCCCACATTTGTCACTTGTGATAAACTTCCTCCTGTCATGCTTTAGAGGACGTGCTCTGGCAAGTCTTCTCAGCAGATTCCTAATGAATCAGGCCATACATAAAACAAGTGAAGAAGCAGGTACCTGCACTTGTCATAGTTTTATCACACTGTTTCAAAATTCAGCAGGGCTGTTCTCCTGCATCCTGCTGGGATTCCAACTGAACTGCTATTTCAAATACATTTCAGCCAAATCAGTTTGGGACATACTGCCAAAAGTTCATTGGTGAAATAAAAGACCCCTTGCTGACTGCTTTCTACCATAATAAAAATTAAGGATCTGAATGAATGAGTGACAAATTATATAGCCATTTAAAACACGCAAGTAGTGATAACAGTGTATCTACCTGCTTTAGAAAGACATACATTAAAAGTAAAGCTTAAATTTAGTTCCAAAACACCATGTCACAATGCTCAAAAAGCACTGAGAATCAACCTTTTCCTAGGAAAGTAAGCAAAAATACAATTGCAAAACAATTAAAACTTGTTACTTAAATCAAGTTTTCCTGTCTGTTCACCTAAATAGCGATTGAATCTTAGTTGTTTAAATTACTTAAATTAACAAATTTAATTGTTTAAATTAGGTTATTCAAATATTTAATTCTAACCACACTACTTACAGTATCATGCAAAACACCGATTACTGTCACAAAGATGGCTCTTTTTCTCTAACACCTAATCTTATTACATGCAACCAACAAGACAGGCAGACAATTTAAACAATGGGAGGCTATAAAGTGCTATGTCTGTTTTGCATCAAATCCTTTGGCTCAAACTAGAAAGCGTTTTGGATCCTGGCACCTGAGTTATTTTCTGGGTAAGTAAAACCACATAAGCCTTCAGACAGCTCAGGAGCAGCAAGCAGAAACCCTCCTGGCTCCAATCAGTATCCAGTAAGTGGAACAACCTTGAGGAGCTGTTTGCTGCCAGCATCGTTTGAAAGCATTCTGACCAGCTTTAACTTGCCGCTCAGTACCGCAAAATCAACACCACCATGTAGCAGGCCTAAGCACCAGCCCCCTACTCCCACCAACTTAATGGCCTGGAAAGGCAGCTCACAACCCAGAGACTGACACAGCCCACAGGTTTTAAGAATATTCGTCTGTCTGCCTGTCCATGGGAATTCCCTGAAAGTGTCCCTTAGAAATGAGCCATCGCTCTGCCTGCAGACAAGGGGAATATATTTTTCTGAAACTTGCACTCCTGTGTCAGCTGGGGCGTTAATGTATGTGAGTTCCCACTCCTGATTCATTATCACCAAGCCGCTCTCTTTCAATTACAGCTGGTATGTTTGCTGTCTTGGTGACCAGCTGGCAAGGAGGACATTTTCACAGGAACTTGCTGATCTCAAGGGACCAGGGATGATCAGCAGTTTTAACTATTCTGGTCTAACTTTTCCTGTTGTAAATGGATAAAATACCCAAAACTATTATATACCCAAATTACCATTTGTTAGATTTTTTGCAGAACTATTATATCTTTGCTGTTGTTTTCTTTAGAAACTAATATTGTTTATAAACCGATACCATCGTACACAATTTCCTTATAACCCATCTATACCTCCTAATGACTACCAGAAACATCTTATCAGAAAGTGGCAGTGTGCTTTCACTTTATGTGTAAACTATTGAAATAGATGTTCCATGAAAATGTTATTTGTACATTAGCAAAAATATGCCCAGTTTTTCTCAGGAGAAGTTATATTGTTGTTATTCAATTTGTTTTTCAGTTTCACATATTATTACCAAAAATACTGCTACAGCAAAGAGTCCCTTCTCTGCAGTGGTATCAATTCTTGGCAGCTGAGACAGAAAGGACACTACTCACTCTGTACATCTTGGAAAGCTTTGAGATATTCTACAGTGAGGAGTGGCTGAGGCAGTTCACGGATGAAGAGTTTTAAAAGACTTGCTGCATCATGTTGCTTTACATTTTCCCAGTTGAAAGTCCCTTCATAAAACTTTGCTTCCAGTTCTTGGCAAAGACTCTGAAAGGCAGTAGATACAGAGAGCACCAATAACACTTGGCTGCTGGAAGTCATGCATTATACACATAGCAATACTTTCCATACTTTGAAAGGGGGGAAAAAAGGGACATCTGAAATATCACTTAACTCCAGCTGCTGCTGATCTTTTGCTACAAAAAGATAAATTGGGGATCAGAAGCACTGAAAGCAAACACATAGTAATAGGCAGCAGACGGCCAAAGCACATAGGAAGAAATCCCATGGGCCTGCCTCAGGGCCATATGGAATAAACTATAACAACCAGGTATCATATCCATTCATGTAAGGGTTATGACTTCCCCTCCCCCAAAATACTAAGATGTGGCTGATATAGCAATTCTGAAACTACTACCAAAGGGTGTTGCTGTAATACACGCATGGCCATTTTCATAAACAAATATGGCAATTATGCATGTTGAGACACAGTTTCCTATTGAAACATATGCTAAGATGAGGCTCGTTCTCTTTTTAAAAAACAGGGAAAAGATTTGTGTGACTGAATAGCTGGATGTGTTGCCATCTACAGGGAACTCCATGCCGCTGGGCACATACAGCTTTGCCTAGCACTGGATGTCAAACATGTCCTCTATGGAAAGGGACTGTACTGCAAAACATGAGGTTATGCAGCAGAATAAACAGCACTGAAAGTCTCAGTGATACCTCGCAAATCTGGGGTTGGGAAAGGGCGGACATTACCATATACCTGCCTTGCTCCCATGGCAGTGCTATTACTGGGCTTCCAGAGATGGACGAATGGGAACATGCTGCTAAGACTGAGTCCTTCTTAGTCTCCCGTTAAGCCCAGCCTTGCACCCACTTGATTTATTTCCCAGTTCAGCAGAGTGGGAATTGGCCTTAGTATAGGGCCAGTGGCGCTGGAGCACCTCTCACAAGTTCGTCCCTTCTTCCAGACAGAAAATGAGGACAGATATACTGGCTTGTTTTGTGAAGTATGTGAGATGAAGTGAGGGAAAATGCTATGGAAAAATATGGCCTTAATTATTTATCTGGACAAGAAAGGCACATTGGATAGAGGATACTAGATACATTTTTAAGATACTGTTCTCATTAAATTTAACTTTGTCCAAATGGAAAATTAATCTATTTCCAGAGAAAAAACATAGACACTTAGGTTGACATAGAAGTTGGATGTCCTCAACTGTCCTCCAGACAGATCTTCTGTCTCCACTGATTATGTAGGGAGTTCAAAGGTGCCAAGATCCTAACTCAGATGCTTAAGTCAAGTGGGTATGATTTCCTACTCATCAATAAAAGCAAGCTTTAGAAATAAAGATGACAACCCTCCCTCTCATCAAATCATCTATCTGCATTCAGAACAAATCACTGTGGCAAATGCAGTATTAAACAACTAGACAAAATGAATTGCTTTATCTGAGAGGCAAGAGCAGAAATGTCAACTATGCATCCTAATGGACCAATGCTTAGATTTTAAAGTAAATGGAGTAATTTAAAACTATGGTTTATTATAGATATGCAATGCCATTTTTTAATAACTCCTCTCAAATCTATAGAACAAGATAGCAAAATATTTTTTCTTGCGATTAACTGTGCCCTTCTATAAAATTACATAAGGAGGAAAATATTTTCTTTTTCTATAAAAAGTTTAAGAAAATTAAGAGAAAACATCAGTCCTTTAGTATGCTAAATTCTTTGTTTTTCTATAAAGTCTTCCATTTGAATAAGTAAAGGAACTTAACATCTTTGCTAACAAAACAATTGCTCAGTTCAAAGAAGCAGCTCCTGCAAATAAATAGGCAAAAAATTAATGGAAGTCAAATAGTGAATGATCTTCTGCCTGGGAAATCATATTAAACTGATAAAATCAAAGAATAAACAAATAAACAAAACCACTCTGAAATCACTCCAGTATGCAGAACTGATGAAAAGTGGAAAATAAAGAATGGAGGAAAATTGTAAAAAGCCCATATCTTAGTTACTGGTAAATAAACAAAGCCAATTTCCATAATATTCCCTTCTTTCAGTTGTTTCTAATGAACCAGCTGCTGGACCAAGTTCTACACAACAGAGGCTGGCAGACGTCTTCGGACAGCTGAATCCACTTAAATTGTTCTTTCCGTTTAGAATTTAAGGCCAGTTCAGACCGTCTTTTTAACACATTGACGCTTGGCGTGAATCATACTGTGTATTTAGTTTCCTGCATTAAGGCAAATACCGGGGAAGAGCCTGCATGCAATTGGCACGCACTCTGCAAAGTGTCGGTGTGCACGGACGTGCCTAACAAGATTGTGCTTAGTGAGCTGAGTAGTTATATTGCTGTTCATAAAAATAAATGTGAGAGGTTCTTCAGTGCATGCTGGCTGCCTTGCCCTGTAACACAGGTTAAGTCTAACTATTAAAATAGGCTTACAACGCCAGAGAAAAGCTTCCTCCTGGGGTAGAAAGACTGTGTACGAACTGTTCAGATGATTAAGCTGGTTCAGGGAAAAAGCAAAAGGCTGGAAAGCTCATGCCAAGAATTAATGAGATTTTGGCACAACTGAATTTGAAACGCAGCCTTGACTCTCCTTCAAACTTGAACTCCAGTCTTTTCCCCAAAACTACGCGGGATGAAACCATCAGCTTTCTGGCTAATATAACTCAGTTTTCTTTGTAAAGAGATTTTGCTTTCTGTTTTTGAAGATTTTCGTAACAACCTGGTGTTAAAATATATTTGTATGACAAAATAAAATCAGCAAACACAGGTAAGTTTTGGGTGATGCTGAGAATCTGTGCAATGTTTTACCTTTACTCTTGTTGCAACTCCTGGTATTCTAAGAAGTCCTTCTGTTTCCAGAGTTGCCTCTTCTATCTGGGCAATCAGCTGTCAAACACAAACCAAATTACATGAACGAAGATGCCAATTAAAAATTACTGGTAGATACTTCTGATATATTGGAGCCTTTATGTATACGTGCATGTGTGTGTATGCATGCATTTGTGCACGCACATATGTAACAAGCAGACACACAAACACGCACTTTACAAATGGATTACAGTTGTTGTAGATGTAGAACAAAACCTTTAATATGGCTCCTACCTGGTTTATGAACACTATTAAAGAAGAGTTTGTCTATTTTATTAAAAAAGAAAACTGTATTTCTAGACCTCCTTCAGGTCTCCTCCAAAGACTGAAGCCGGTTTTTTTGCAAAATTACGCTGGCTTCAAAAATAAATCCCAATTACTACCCTTGTTATAATGTCTCCAAATCAAAACAATTAAGGTAACATTAGAGATACAGTACTAACTTTTTCACAAATACTCTTCTTTATGACTTTCCCATAGAGGAACTAAGTACTTCTAGGCTTTAAAGAAGCCTCAGTTTGGCAAATAGTGGCATTCTCTTAACAGACTCAACAGTTTGCAACCCTACACATGGCTTAGATAGATCAGTAGAAATTCTGCAGAAGTACTTAAAACATGTATCAAAAATTCTGTTTCTCTAAAAACATATGCCTAGAAGTATTCACTGAAGGATGGATCTAAGAGTATTGAAAAGAAATTTGTAAACGTCAAAAGCTGATGACATCTTTTCAGCACAAATGGTTCTCACAATGTTTAACTAGGGCAGTGCCTTTGTTACATACCTTCCTGTGCCAGCTTTTGAGTAAGAAAAATTATGCAACGCAATTGTGTTTTCTCCAGTTACAGAAATTAAAGGGGGTTTACTGTATTTATGTAACAGATAAATGCCATAAAAAAGATCAGCCAGAAAAAGCCACAAAGTTAGAAAACAGCACTAAAGGTGTCACCCTGGTATATTTTCCATGGTTAAAAAAAAAAAAAAAGAAAAGAAAAAGGGCTAACTGGCCACATCCAACTCTCACCGGATCCGGCTTACACCAGAGCAGTGGCTGCCACTCTCATCTGTTGGGCACAAAGACACTGCGGCCACGTTGTGCGATTTGCCACCATCCCCATGTCTATGGGGAGGTGAGGTGTGGTGGCACTGCCTGTGGCCACAACTCCTTCGTACACACTCACTCACAAGTGCCCCCCTGGCTAACTGGCCACATCCAACTCTCACCGGATCCGGCTTACACCAGAGCAGTGGCTGCCACTCTCATCTGTTGGGCACAAAGACACTGCGGCCACGTTGTGCGATTTGCCACCATCCCCATGTCTATGGGGAGGTGAGGTGTGGTGGCACTGCCTGTGGCCACAACTCCTTCGTACACACTCACTCACAAGTGCCCCCCTGGCAGGCAGCAAGAGGTGGCCACTGGCCATCACCAGCCTCCTGCCTATGGGAAATCCCCTCTCCATCTGAGAGATGAAAACCATCAGAAATCTGATCGGTTTCACCCTCAGATTTTCCAGTTGGAAAAACCCTAGGCTAAATTATGTCGTTATTTTTAACTGTAATTCCTCAATGAAATAAAAACTAGGTATATTTTTTATCAAAACTTTTTTTTTAATTAAGCAGCCTTCCTATTAGCTTGGTTTGTTTCATTTCAGTGATAACCAAGGTACATTTAAAAAGCAGTATGCACAAAAATGTTCTTTCTTGCACTTTATATAAATCCCCTATTCTTAGAAAGCACATGCTGTAGAGAACAGGCAGAAGAAATGGGAAACTTTTTATTTTCATATCCTTATTTAAAGAAAAACTGTATTCCAAATGATGCCTGCACCTTGCAAAACAAATCACATCTATAAGCTGGAAAGTTTATGTAGAATTTTCTTCCTGAAGAACTATGCTTACTATGGTGCTAGGATAGCACAGTAATCAATCACTTTTTGTCATTTGATTTCTTTTTTTTCTAGATAGCATCTTTCCCAGAAATTTATTTCTGTGATCCTGAGGAAGTAATTTCTGGCATGAATGACACAGCAATAGTTTTGAGAGAGTGATGCAAAACTACTTTCAGTTTTCTGTTTCTTGAAAAATAATTTAACTAGGACGCCAAACCTACTGAAACAGTGATGACAGAGCACTGACTTTCTGTCAGTTAGGACAGGTCCACACACTGTGGTCTCTCCCTTCCATGCAATGAGACCTGTTATGCATGGGCAGTAAATCCAGGGTCTCCATCATCTTTCCTATTATCTTCCCCATTACCATGACATGATACGGGCCAAAGCATCCCCCCACATACTAAAGCAACAAATCTTCTGGAAAAGGGCAGCTGCCACCACCAGAGGCAGTTATCCAGACTGATGCACACTCCTTAGCTACCTGCCTCGTGGCCCAAATCACTTCTGAAAGGAAAAAACCACTTCCTAGAAAGGCAGGTTCAGCCTGTGGGCCAGGGATTGAGAATTTCTACGGAATTTCAAGTATTTGCTGTGAAATAATAAAGGGCAGCCCTACTGATGATGAAAGTTACACCAACGTTATAAAATGGAATTTGGCTGCAGTGGGTTCTTACACTGATTGTCAGTTTTCACAGACTTGTTAGCAAAGTTGCCTAAGTCATGGAGACCAGTTGTAACAAAAAACGAACTTTATTCCTTTAACTCAAAATACGTCTGATATGAAGCAAAGTATCACATTTACTGAATTAATAAGTAAAGCTGCACATAAAAGTCACAATAACTTTGACTGATTAGAGTAATATACTGAAAACTTTGCTACAGGGAACAAATAAATCCAGGACAAAAATGTTATTTGTTTGTCATTTGCAGGTATGTAACAAGTTGACTTGTTCATGCCTATTTACCTTTTGAAAAATCAGTGGTATCTTGGTTCCTGGCACCTTCTTCTGATCCTGTTCCAGTAAAACTGACAGTGGGACACCAAACAAGCCCGAGTCTGAAGAATACAGCAAAAGAAACTTGAGATATTACCCACATCTGTTTCAATACATGTGATAATGGCATAAACCACACTTGTGAAGCAATAAGCCTATTCAGAGCTATTAACCTTTTGTTCAAGGTGTTTTAATGTCTTCGTCAATCAAGTTATTACACAAAGCATTCTGGCTAAAAGGGTTCATTCATCTCTTCCTTCAACTGTAAATCAGAAGTCTTCTGTTTTGACTTCAAATTGCCATCCACATACTCTGCAGTACAGTGAAGCAAACTGCATAAATGAACCATCTGCATGGTTCTGGTTTGCAGAATGGGTGTGATGATGACCCTGCAATGCAGGTCTTCATTGCTCAATGCAAGTTATTAAAGTTAAGATGCAAATGACATGAGTAAAATATCCAGAAATTTGGCTACTAGAGTGAGACAGATGTAATTATCACCTAGAGTTACTCTGCACACTTCTCTCTATGAGGGTTTTGAAAGAAGAGTTTTTCAACCCTTGTGCTTTTGCATTATACAGCACCAGCAGGATAGCAAGATCACCATCTTGTCAAAGGTGTTTTGCCTTTTTTTTTTTAAATAAAAGCAAAAGTACAGTTAAGCCTGGGTTAGAAAATTATCTTTACAATCTTTACAATGCAAATTTTAAAAAAATGGAATCTAGCCTCAGTTAATCTAGCCCTAATGCAAAACTAGCCTTAGTCTTCAAGTAAATGGGACTCCCATGTGTTTATGGCCCAGCTGAATAGAAGTGAATGACCATTAAAAGAGAGCTACACTAGTAACTACTAACCCCAAGTTTGCTGACATAGAACTTCTCTGTCAGAAGTACTAATAATTGCTGTATGTGCAATTTTTCTGAAAGAGCACATAACACTACATGTAGCTAAATACTCCTGCTTGGTATGATGCCATGCCAATATTGAGCACACAACAGCTGTAACTACTAAAAAGGTGTCAGCCCTTGAGGGAATGCAATATACGTCAAAGAAACATCAGTTTAAGTGCCAAATCGTGGCGTTCTTGTATCTCTATCAGCACAAAAAGTCTACCTATAAAATATGTAGAGACTTATACATACACTCAATATCCATACCCCATAGTTTTATCATCTTGAAGATCTTGTCAATAATAAAAGTTTCTACTGAGATGAAGTTGAAGAAACAAACTGTAGGAGGTCAACAGAAAGGCAGGGCTGGGCACAGCACAACATTCCACAGAAGAATTATGTTTTCATCGTCTCGTCTTTAGGTACTCAGGCACAAAGGGGAACAGCCAATAGATCCACCATTGTATGAATCAATAGGCCAAACAACACTTCAGAGTGAAGAGGTGAGGGTCAGGCAGAGCAACAAGGCACTGAAGGCATTACATTGCAAAAGCAGATTTGTTTGGCAGGAAGGGTGACATGTCATTGTCTATTTCCTAAACATTTCCATGAATCTAGCCCATCTTTTTTAACCTGGGGAAAAACAGGGGTTTTAATCAATTCAATGTTTTGTATGACTGCCTGTCATTCACATAGTAATGCTACAAGAGAAATTCAATTAACAATAAATTTGGTAAGAAGAATCAATTAAAACTAATACCCAAAGTAGAAGAGAAGAAGGTGTTTTTTCTCTATTGGGGAAAGCACAAGCACCTCTGCAAGAAGAAAATGCATTTAAGGGATCAAGGTCTTATAGATGTTTCTGTGTATGCCTTTTGCATTTAAGAAGTTATTTTCTACTACTGTAAAGCGAAGAGCATATTCTGAAGAATCTATTGTACCTTGCTGTATATATCTCTCAACCTTCTCTGTTGCTTTCTACTATTTAAAGTGAGCTATTGCACTGTCACATTCACTGAACCTTGACAACAGGGTTTTGGCCAAAGCAGGCTTGTGATTAACTGGGAACACATTTCAAGCTCTTGTAAAGCATTTAGCAGAAGCCACAAATACAGAAAACAAAGCACTGAAAACCTCTAGCATCTTGAAATTGGTTTCCATGTGTCCTATGTTCCCAAGAAAAGCACTGTGATTATACATATGCTCCAATGGCTTGCAGAGCAAAATGATGTGCTGCAGCTGTCTCAACATCCTCTGCAACAGCCCAAATCTTCCACTTAATATGATGCCATTCAGCATAAAAACTGCATTATGGCCTGAGTAAATATGGGATGGGCAAGGCCTGTGTGACACAGGAAAGTTTGTACCAGACAGAAGAGGAAAGCAGGTCACAAAGGCTCCCATCATCTCCAGCTGAGGGCAATGAAAGCAAAAAAGTCAGGTTGAAGTCACACAGGAAAGCAGGAAAAGAATACCACAAAGAGCACATACACATGCCCTCCCAGGGAATATATCAGCACATACAAACTTCTGTGAAGCAATTCTTCCTGCACAGCACGCTACTAAGACAGTTCCCCTTCGTCACTCCTTGGTTTACCTGCTCAGTGACTGACCTGACTTTTAACTTTAGACAGAGAGCAGAGTCCCCGTAGACTGGAGTGGCTATGTGCATGAACTTGCTTAAAGTATGCTTTGAGTTAAGGCGTATAATTAAATGCTGCTCAGGACTTATGTTACTATTTATATATGAATATACATTTTCTGCTGGTAAATCATAAAGAACTGGACACATTTGTTTTATTGGATTAAAACTGACCCATTTGGTTCAGAATATGAAATGCCAACTCACCTTTGGTTTTGATTTTGACAGCTTTCTGCTGCTTGAATTCTGTCCCAAGTATGTCATAGAGAGCAGTTAATTCAATCAGTGCTAAAGAATAGACTTTCTTCATGTCCTGAGGGGCCAGGTCACCAATCTTTGTGGTACCTGTTTTGTCCTTCGGCAGCCTGAAATTCTAAAAGCAGAGATTTGCAGCAGAGTGAATAATCCAAGTCATAACAAATTACTTAGCTTGAAGACTGGGCTTCCTTCAGGGCACAACCTTTCATCATGAAGCCTGCTGTTACTGACTAAATCATGGGAGAATCCCCCAAATAGGTTGAAAAGCAGATGATCTCAAAACCATAGGAGGAATTAGGTTACTAGTGACTTCTGGAGGTCATAGAATCATAGAATGCTTTGGGTTGGAAGGGACC